ATGATTGAACTGTTTTTTTTTTCAGATAATTTTTAAAAAATTGATGTTTTTGTGGATGGGTCGTTCTCTTATAATTGAACGTTTTCTGAGTTATGTAAACTTTTCGGTTACAAATTCTGAAATTCGTTTCTGCCTTCAAAATTGAAATGTTTGCTGAATTGAAACAGAATCATTTACCTGATTCTGAAGTATTTTATTTTACGCAACCATTTATGTTAACGCAGAGTGCTTTGAAGTTTTGTTCTTGTGTTCGTCTTATTTCTTGATTGTCTGTACCATAATTATGCATTCAAGTTCTAATCTGATAAATTTAGCAAACTGAACATTGAAGAAGTGAGATGATATAAACTGAAGAAAAGTATTCATTTAGCATAAATTTAACAAAAGGAATCATTTATGTGATAGTTGCTGGAGATGAGCGGCCATCTTGATTTTATTTTGTTTTTCATTCACCGGAAATCTCCGACCGTTTTTTCGATATTATCTCTGATTTTTCACTGGGTTGAGTACATGAAATTCGTAAAAATGTGTTGTTTGTTTATGCGTTTTGACATGCGACAGTGTTATTGAATAACGGTTTGTTCTTGTTAAGAATAAAATATATACGTTGTTGTTGTTATGTGCGTTGTGTTGTGTTCTTCGTTTCGCCATAAAGCCTTGTTTTAAACGGCATCTTTACTATCTTTATGTTCTGTGCGCTTAGAATAATTTTAATTTGTCAGCTCATTGATCAGAAGTATTGTGCGTTGATGAGTTGTGCATTTACACGTCACTAGTGGTGATCGCAATGAAAAAATCAACACGCTAGAAGAGACTTTACAGTTAGCATTAGTTTTTGAAGTTTGCCCAGAATAGTGGTTTGCCCCCGTTCAGCACTTTCCTCGTGCTGTTGCCTGATGGACTGAGGTGAGAAGTTCGTGACTGTACATGAGAAGCTTGTTGCTGAATGATTCACCAGTTTGAATTGCATTATTATTTTGTCATCGTAGAGATGATGTCATAAAACAGCGTAATTCAATCTAAGTTGAAGTCAAAATTCTGAGCCAGAAGGTTGACTGAAATGATATTTATTCTCTGCAGTTCACTTCTAGGATTATCACTGATCTGTTTTGATATGCCGTCGAACATTTAAGCATCGTGATTGCAGAGTGATTGTCGTCAGTCGGTTGTAAATGGCAACTTCGGAAGCATCAACCACAGTATCGAATGCAACAACGGAAGATAAAGTGGATAAAGAACAGGTTTATCAGTGGATTATCGACTTGGGTGATCCGAAGAAGCGTGAACAGTCACTGTTGGAATTGAGGTTGTCACTTTTACATGCTTTTTAACGGTTCGCCATATTCACTGAGATTTTGTATTGCTTATCTGTGCTTCAAAAGGCACCACTCTAGCGCCACAATGAAATTATATCCTAGATGTGAACTGAAACCTCCTGTTAACATTAAACATTCAGAGGAGAATCTATTGGAAACATCAATTTTCAAGAGACGTTTT